TGGGGCTCTCCCAGGCTCCCCATTGGACGCCGCGCGCCGCGACTGGAGGTGGCGGTCCCGCCTCTGCAGGTTACGGGGCGAAGCGGCTGCGACTCTCGCAGCTGCCGGGGGTCGCTCCGCCCCGGCCTGAGTCCCGACTTACTTCCTCGATCCAGATCTCGTGGCTCTCCCGGGACGTCAGCGGATCTCCTTCCGGATCCTTTTCCTCCATAACCTGCTGGGGTTATTTTTCTTCCTCCCCGGCTTCCAGCTCCCAGCCCCGCGTTTCCCTTCCCCGCTCCCGGGCCCCCAGTAGCCTGCCGTTCTCAGCATCCCACCTGCCATCGTCCTATCCCCCTGGCTTCTGCCCCTTCTTGATCTCAACTCCTTTGACCAACTGAGCCCAATCATAACCTTCTCGCCAAACTCCCCTAAACTCCTCTTTCTTCTCTCTTTGCCAGCTCCTGACTTCCAAATTCCAGCTATCCTTTCACCTGGCATTTGACCCTGACACTTGGCTCCAGAACGCGACATCCCTACCTCCTGCAGCCTGTTGAAACTGAGGTCTTTCCTGATTTCTGACCTCGTTTCTGAAGCTCGTTTTGACTTCCTTACTCCTGGGCCAGTTCTTGCTACCACTGCCCCACCATGGACTTCTTGATGAGTGGCCTGGCAGCCTGCGGGGCCTGTTTGTTCACCAACCCCCTGGAGGTGGTGAAGACGAGGATGCAGTTACAGGGAGAACTGCAGGCCCCCGGCTCCTACCAGCGGCACTACCGAAACGTCTTCCATGCCTTCATCACCATCGGCAAGGTGGACGGCCTGGCTGCCCTGCAGAAGGGGCTGGCCCCTGCCCTCCTGTACCAGTTCCTGATGAATGGCATCCGGCTGGGCACCTATGGGCTGGCTGAGGCTAAGGGCTACCTGCACTCAGCTGACGGCACCCACAGTCCTATCCGAAGCGCAGCAGCTGGGGCGTTGGCTGGGGTCCTGGGAGCCTACTTGGGGAGCCCTATCTACATGGTGAGAAGAAGGGTCTTGCCTGGGGCCTCCAAGGCAGACATTTGGTGTAGGGTGGGGACCTGGGCCTTCCTTCATAATCTGATACTGAGGTTGGAAGTGGACTTGTGTAGGGGAGGGTGAGGAATTTGAGTAACGTACCTCAGTAAGTGTGAGGACCAGGGGAAGTCCTGGATATCACAGAATTACAGTCTCACAGTCGGCCCCTTCGAGCCATCTGGTGTAGGTGAAGGGTCTGTAGCCTGACGCCCAGAGAAGGGAGGTGACTAGCTCAAGGTCACACAGCTGCTTATTGCCAGGACTAGGTCCTGCTTTGTGCTCCTCCTGGAAAGACCGAAAGGCAGGGTATGAGATTCAGGACAGTGGCCTCTCCAAAGTAAGCTGAGCACATGCCCCCATGCGGCTTTGGGGTCAGAGAGCAAGTTTTGTTCATGATCTCCCAACCTACCGCAGAGTCTGATGGGGAAGCCTGGTCGTGCTGGTAGCTGGAGATCCAGTTTGGGAAATGGAGCTGGCATGAGACACTAGACTCCCGGGTCTTGCCCAAGATGAATAATCTTAGGAAATACTGCCATTCTTCAACCTCTCCATTTCCCCTCCACCCTTGGCCCACAAGGGAAGGAAGAAGTAGAGGGGTGGAGTGTCGGTGGTGCTAGGAGATCCATCACCCCAGGGGACTGGAGCCAAGAGACAGAATCTCATGACCAATTTGTTAAAGGAAAACAACAATAATTATCAGGTCAAAAGGATATTCATTGTTGAACACCCCAGGGGTTCTCAATCTTCCTAATGCCTCGACCCTTTAACACAGTTCCTCATGTTGTGGTGACCCCCAACCATAAAATTATTTTCGTTGCTACTTCATAACTGTAATGTTGTTACTGTTATGAATCATAATGTAAATATCTGATATGCAGGATGGATTTTCATTGTTCGCGACCCACAGGTTGAGAACCGCTGCGAGGAAGTGTGAGGGGTTCAGGCACTTGGGTCTCTGGGGTGAAAGAATGGTCACGGGGCCATAGGTTGTGATACTCTCTCGTCCCCAGGTGAAGACACACCTGCAAGCACAGGCCGCCTCAGAAATTGCTGTAGGGCACCAGTACAAGCATCAGGTAAGGCGTTCCCAACCCCGCCGGAGCCTCCGCCATTCTCTCCCATCGGCCCCAGCTTTCTGTCCGCACCCAACGACTCCAGCCCAGCCAAGGCTCTGTTCAGCCAATCAGTTCAGCCTCACTCTGCCCCTAACCTCCTCCCAGGCCCTCTTTCCCACACGCTCCCCAGTTTCTCCTGCCCTGTTCCCCTGGTCTGCTAATGTCCTCACTTCCATACGGCAAGGGAGGGAGCAACGAGGTGGTAGACAACGGAAGGGCCACATTCTGGTGTTAAGCTCACACACAACTGGTTGTCCAGACATCAGATGCCTGTTAAGGACCCATCCTTAGCAGTGTTAGGAGATGGCAGCCCCTGATGCCAGGGTGACTAAACCCCACCTCGTGGTCTTCCCCCTCCCAGGGCATGTTTCAGGCGCTAACCGAGATTGGCCAGAAACATGGTCTGGTGGGGTTGTGGCGTGGGGCCGTGGGCGGCCTTCCCCGAGTTATCGCCGGTTCCTCCGCCCAGCTGTGCACCTTCTCATCCACCAAGGACCTTATTACCCAGTGGGAGGTACTGCCTGGGAAACGGGTGGGGGCGCCCTGGGAAATGTGGGCCGGGGGGGAGGGGAGTACAAGCTGAACTGAGCCCTAGAGGGGTGAGGGAGTGGCAGGATGGCTTGGGGGTCAGCTAAAACTATTTTTCTCGATCTCCGAAAGCGAAATATTTCCTGTTATGCACACCAAACAAGTCAGCCCAAGGCTAATGACCTGGCCATCGGCTGCTAAAATAATCGCTGCTAGTATTAGTGGAGAGAAATGGTGCACTGTGCGTAAGGCGTGTAAGAAAATGAATGCGACACGATGATAGTAATGTCATTAGCGAATGTTGTTCGTTATTAATAATTATGTATAACAGGATATTGTAAAAATTAAGTTATGAATTTTTTATTAAAATGTTTCTTACATACCGTTATATTGGCTGGGCTGCAAAAATATTCATTGTGGGCCGCGAGTTTGACATGCTTTTGCTATACCCTTCCCACAGCTTTTGTCACTCCCTCTCAGGCGCACCTGAGCCTTCACAGTGTTATCACACTGTATTAACTGATGGAGTGGAAGCTCCCAGAGTTACCAGCTCTACTGTATTCCCAGAGCAGGGCCTGTCCTTTCCTAGGAGTTGAATAATTGACTGACTGACAAAGCTCTTCCTCCCTCCCTTTAGATATTTCCTCCCCAGAGCTGGAAGGTGGCTCTGGCAGCTGCCATGGTGAGTGGCATTGTGGTGGTCCTGGCCATGACACCCTTTGATGTGGTGAGCACAAGGCTCTACAACCAGCCCACAGACACTCAGGGCAAGGTAAGGGAGTGCTCTGTGGTTCAGGCAGGGAAAACTGCAGGAGGGGGAGGGGGGATGGGATGCGGGGGTGGGGAAGAGGAGCAGATTGCAGAGCCAAGTGGGACAGCCTAAAAGGTAGCCTGCAGAGGTGAGACCCCTGATGGGCTCTGACAGACTCCTTCCCTGTTCTCTCCCTCCTTCTCCAACCTGCTCTCAGGGCCTCATGTACCGAGGGGTGCTGGACGCTCTGCTGCAGACGGCTCGGACAGAGGGCATTTTTGGCATGTACAAGGGTATTGGAGCCTCCTACTTCCGCCTCGGCCCTCACACCATCCTCTCCCTCTTCTTCTGGGACCAGCTTCGCTTCCTCTACTCCACGTACACCAAATAACAGCCACTCCCCCTCACTCCACCTAGTTGGCACTCCTTGGACACTTCTGCCTCCATTACTATGTCCTGGTGACTTCTTACCAGGCGGCCTCTTATCCATCAGAGGGGGACAGCCAATCCCACTCCCTATCTGTTTTCTCAGGGTTGAATCACTACAAGAGATAGTTTCCCTCCCTTCCGTGGCTGTCACTTTAAACTTTCTCTACCTGTCCCCCTGTACATTTCACTCCAAAGTTTATGCCCCCCCCCCACTTTCTTCACTGCCAGCCTTGGGTCCCTTCTGATCACACGTACAACTTTAAAATCCCCCTCCAAAACCAAAGGGAATTGGGGGGACCCAGGTGTCCTGTTAGATTCTAAGGCACAGAGATTATATTGGTTATAAAGGAAGTTTATTTCTGCAGAGAGGTGTCTTATGTTTATCCACAGGGAAGGAATTTGGGGAATATATCCCACCCTTTGTTCCCCTTGCAGAATGGGGTCCCCAAGTCTTCAGCAGTGTCATGTAGCATTTCAGCATCTTTACTGGGGACCAAAGATGTTGGGATCATGAAGAGTCAGACTGGTCACCAGCTGTTCGAAGTCACCCAGGCTCCAGGGTGGAAATGACAGATTTTCAGGGTCAAGAGATAACCTGTTGTCAGGGCTTGGGAGCAGGGGAACAGACGGGGAGAGAACATCATCCAGGCCTCATGTGTGGAAGTTACCCTTTCCTGTTCCTGGGATGACCTGGGTATCTGTGACCCCCAAACTCTGGCCCACTCCCACTTCCTTGGAGGACCCCGCTAGCCCGCTTCCCTGCTCTGCCCCTCCCAGCCCATGCTCCTGGGGACCCCACCCTGGAGCCATGTGCCCTCTCTGTCCTTACGGGGGCTGATTGAAGGTGAGCAGGAGATCGGTCTGGTACGGAGTCAGCCTCAGCAAGGCCTGGTGCAGGGTCACGTCCTTCGCTACCTAAAGGGATCGGTGTCAGGATGTTCGAGGGCCCCCCTCTTCGCCCCTCCGGGCCATCTCACTCGCCCTTACCTGCTGGTTCTCTTTAGCCACCTGCTGCTTGCCCGAGAGGACCCAGGCTTCTTCACAGCAGCCCCTCAGGGCCAGGCTCTCCAAGAGGAGGGGCTGCACAGCCTCCACCTGAACAGTCCTAGCGCCCTGCACCCCACCAACGTCCTCAAAGTGGTACCTGGAGCGGGGAGGGGCAGGGTCAGGAAGGGGCACCTCCCACCGTCGCCCCACGAGCATCTTGAAGTCTAGGCTTCGGTCGCTCTGCGGGACACGTGGCTGCCAAGGGAGTTCTCGTCGCCCAGGGAACCGTCCCGCGCACCCCGCCCAC